GATACAATGATAAAAATATGAAACAGGAATGCTGATGTAAGATCTAATCATTTTATGTATTCAATACATTATTTCGTTAATATCCAAACTGAACTGAATTCATATGACGTATACAAATACGTGTACGATTAGAATAGTTAATATAAATCAAAGGGTTAATAAGGTGCCATGTGACGCCACAATATTATGTGATATCACCACGTCACAGAATTGAGTTATGTTAGATGGTAGTCGATGAATTGTATTAATATGCACAATGCAGTAAACATTTACTGACCTTTCTCAATTCTATAATTTTTACCACTACATATGGTTAAGTTGCTATATCATGTTATCAATAATATTATGGAAATTCTTTATTACTCTTATTTTTAAATTAGAAACTAGGTTGACCTATTAATTAATTTGTTTTTTTCATTTATTTAAGGCTACAAATAGTCATATACATAGAAAAATAATTATTGTAAATTGTTGAAGTTATAATAGACCTGTAGTGCCTATAACACGTGACAATACTTAACAATAATATAATTTGAGCTCCTATGTTTGTCAAATTCAACGTTACAATTTTGTTTTATTTTGAGAGTACAACAACATAAGGAAGACATCACCATATATTAAAATATGCTTTGTAAATACTTATGTACTTAACCCCTTCGGACCCGAATTAAGAAAGTATATTAAAAAAAATATTTCTGTTAATTTACCGTGTATTTGAAGACTAATAAAATTATTTTTGGTAAAAAAAAATATTTCTTATTTATATATATTTAGTTAAATATCTGTCCATTGAAATGGACATGGGGATTCGACTGTTGCTTAATTCGATTTTATGTAATTACTAGAATTTTTGTATTTACTTGGGATTTTATTACTTTTAGGTTATTAAAAAATAATGCATTATTGTTAATATCTTTTCTTATTGTTTATACAAAAACATAAAGCAGAAAATTACAGCATATAAAAAAAATACTATGAGTTTTGGTGAAACGCTCGAAAACAATTTCTTTCAGTAACGAAACACAAATGAATATCGCATTTTAGGCAATAAACATGTGTTTTTCCTTTACAATCTGGTTTCTTACATCTTGTAGCTTCTTTTTTTTTGTCGTATTCTGGTAAATGATCGACAGTGTCGTATTGTATTTCACTAGCTGGTCTAAATTCAATACAACGACGAGATTTTGATGTACTAGGTTGTGTATTTATTGGACTGCTGTTTCCAGAACTAGACGGCCGTCCTCTTTTTCTTGAAAATACTGGTTTACCCCATTTTTATTAGGGCTTCGGCTACTCGTTGGCGGAAGTGCAGAAGGTCTAAGATATCTTTATTTTGTATTTTACAGGCTTGACAGTCCTCTTTATATTCCAACCAGCTATTAGTCACCGCCAAGTCAATCGCATGAGATATCATTCGCAACGTCCATTTTTTAGACCTTATAAAAATGCGGTACAGGCTAAGTAGATGGTCAATTTTATCAACGCCTCCCATTCCATTGTTATATAATCGTACAAGTTCTGGACGTGGAATTGATATGTACTGTTTTGTTGCTTTGTTCCACCTTAGCGCCTCGTCTTCTTCTCCGATCCCTACGAAATTAGAAGCTAGTATCACACCTTTATTATCCATCCATTTAAGGACTAATATATCTTTTGTACTATTGGTAACTTGTTCTGAGTATCCTCTTGGTTTTTTTGCTCCGTCCTTGTCACTAATGAGTGGTGGATTTTGAAACCTGTTTACTCTGATTGTCCCGCCTGCATATATTTCTCTTTTACGCAAATCTCGAAGCAAATTGTAATTTGAAAAATAATTATCAAAGAAAAGGAAATGTCCAGAACAAATTATTCGTCGCGAAAGTTGATTTACGTAGGCGGCTGATGCACCATACCGTGAGACATCATCTTGATCTATATTCGTTGTAGCTCCTTGATAGATAATAAAGTCATAGACCATTCCGCTTTTGCCACAAAGCATAAAAATTTTGATACCCCATGGCTCTGGTTTTCCTTTCACGTACTGCTTGATATTCAGATTCCCTCTGAAGGGAACAATCTGCTCGTCAACACTTAAAATTTGCTCCAGCTTCAGTTCCAGACATCGGTTCCTGATCGAGTCGTATAAAGGTCTAACTTTGATAAGTCGGTCACTGTTTCCATTTAGAATAGAATTGTTATCAATAATATGCAAATTATTTCTTAGCTGCAAGAAGCGATCCCTAGGCATATTTTCTAAAAATACCTTCATATCCAAAGTTCTATCCCAATACAGCTGTATGCGCGGAAATTTTAAATTTCCCATAATAATATGCAGGGCTATAAATATTTTCATTTCGATCAGCGAACATTGTTTGTAGTTACGGACTTCTTTTGTATTGGCATATAAATTGGTGTTAAAAACTATTTCTTCTAATAGGGAATCAGGGATATATTTTTTGAAGTATTCTATTGGTGATAATGGTGATACAATTTCAGAAATTGGTGGGACTGCCCATGAAAATTCAGGAGTTTCAAATTGAAGATGTTTTCTCCATATGATATCCGGTTTGGTTTTCTTTTCTTTATTTGTGTTTTTATTAGTGCTTTCCTTATTCGAGCCGCTCGCCTCAACCTCCTCTTCAACTTCCTGATCATCCTCTAAGTTTTCTTCGTAAAACGGCTGTGGTTCTGGTTCATTAGGGCATACAATACCGCTGCCATCACGATTTGTTATTGATGAGTGTGGGTGTATAATTTCATCATCACTTTCTTCATCAAGGTCTGACATCACACCATTTTCTAGGATATCTAACAGACGGTTAACGTCTTTGTTTTTTGATAAATCGAATCCTATAACAAACCAAAAGTACTAATATGCGGTACCACGACATAATACTTGTGCACAATAATATATTTACAGTCAAGCCGTAATGTCCATTCCAGTGGACATGGAAAAAAACTCTAATTTTGTCAAGAATTTTGATAAAAAGTATTAAGAAAATTACTTAAATTAATACATTACAGTTTAATATACCAGAAAAATAAATAAATATTGGATCATATAAATCAATTTACTATAGAAATAAATTAACAAAATCTGCTTACCAGTACTGCGTTCGTCCATGGTTCTTGTCAATATACGACTTATTATTTCAATATACCCACACCACATTCTTACAATTTGATGAAGCATAAACAATCTTTGATATCAGAAGTACACCGAGAAATGTTTACATTACCGTCAAAACAACACTGAGTATTATAATAAAATAATATAAGTTATGTCCATTGAAATGGACACCGGGTCCGAAGGGGTTAAGTTAACAATACTGGACACAAACAAGAGAATAAACAAAGCAATAAATGGAACATATTGTGTAAAATAGTCCGGCAAGGCTATTTAGAGCTTAATAGCTTCTGAAAAGTGCAACCAAGTAGAGCCAACACCGTTCTTTTTTAAAGGAAATATATCACAGAGATATACACACACATATTTATACATATAGAATAAGTGTTGTTTGACATAATTTTTATTAATTGCTAGTTAGAATTTCCGAAAGAATACATTTCAATTTCTGTAGCGATATATTGAAGATGTCTATATGGGTGAAATCATGGTTGTAAATATTAGTGGAACGGTATAGAAAAGAGTTGCGCGTATAGTTACTACATTATCGCCTGTGGTTATCGCGGAGGAACAAAAAGTGGTTTAAGCGTGAGGAGCGCATTGGAAGTCGAACATGAGAAATAAAAGAAATGCTACTGAGTAATGACGGAGAATCAATAAGATTATATAGAATTTTATAGATAAATATCATATCAAACTTTTTACGCCTGTTACGGAGAGACATCAAATCGTATCTATGAAGAGAAGATGGGTATGTTTCTACTAAATTATTTTGGCGGTAATTTATGGATTTGAGAAACATTTTCTGGACCTTCTCAATTCTGTTAATGTGAATCTCATAACATGGATTCCATAAGGGACTGCGAATAAATGAGAAGTTCAGGATTTTTAACGTACTTGGTCTACTAAATGGTTTACTTATTCGCAATATAAAGCCAAGATTTTTGAATGCCGAAGCAACTACGTGATCAATATGAGAATTAAATGACAACACAGAATCCATGATGATACCCAAGTCCCTATCATCATATCGTATGTATGTATGTATCATCCATATCATTTATGTATGCTAAAAACAGCAACGGGACAATATGAGTACCCTGGAGAACACCGTATGATATCGCCTCTTGAATTTGCTGTAAGTTTTTTTGACATTAAGTACGCCATTTGCTTTTTTATAGGCAAACAAGATTAAGTAAATAAATAAGATAGGCGATAGGAAGAACATGGCCTTTATTTTAATTCTATTCCCCGCTCGAGTTATAAAAACAAAGCTCTTGATTCTGACAGCCAAAATATTAATTATTTTTATTTATAGAATGTTTACGACAAGAAACGCTTATCCCTGTGAGTGTAATGACCTTCTATCAAAATACAAAATCTTTTATTCTTAGAAATAAAAAACATGTCACTAATAAAATTTACATACCTAATGTATTATAAAAATCAAAAAATATCATCAACATACAGGGTTGGGTTCATTATTATTGTCTGTGGTCTGTGTGTTGACTTAACGTTAAATTTACTTCTTTCATCATAGGTTGCCTGGAAGAGATTATTGTTTATTTTATTTATTGTAAACCACTTGTAAATTCTTTTAATAAATTCTTTTAATTAATAGTAATAGTTCTGGTGCCTGTGAAGTATAGCTTAAGTAGTTAAAGTTAAATTTTATGGAGAGAGACTTATAAAAGAAAATATAACAAATTACATTAAAATTGATACAACCTACCTACCTTTTTTATTCATCAGGGAAACACTTGAAGTATGAGCCCAGTTTTTAATTGGTGTTTTTATCATAAATAAACTATTATATGAATGATACGAGTAAAATAAAAAGAAATAAAACTATGGAATACAGTCATTTTATTTACAATGTGCCATAGCAATCTTTTCATTTGAGCAGGACAGGGGCTTTATAAGCAGCAGCGACCACTGGAGCAGAGTAAGCAGCGGCCACAGGGGCGGCATATGCGGCGGCGACGGGTGCAGTGTATGCAGCGGCGACGGGTGCAGTGTATGCAGCAGCAACGGGGGCAGTGTAGGCAGCAGCGAAGGGAGCAGCATATGCAGCAGCAACCGGTGCGGTATAAGCGGCGGCTACTGGGGCAGTATAGGCAGCAGCAACTGGGGCGGTGTATGCAGCAGCTACCACAGGTGCTGTGTATGCGACAGAGTGGATGCCTGGCTTACCAGCCGCCATAGCGAGAAAAGTTGAGATGATTACCTTTAAAATTAAGACAAGGATGACAATAAGTTGTAAAACAATACTAAAACTCCAATAACAAAATCTAAGAAAATTATAATATGTCGACTATGCATATAATTAAAAGAAGATTATTGCATTTTCTCCATCCTATTATTATGATACAAATTCTGTATCATTGCCTTTTATGTCTATTCGTGTATATATTCATTATATTTTTCTGCGCGCTTTTGTCTTTTGAAATGATTCTTATATTTATGGTGACTATTAGTTAATTCATAATAATTAAAATGGGATATTTCATTTAAATTGTTTTTATTTGTAATCAATTTGCAGTTTCTTTACAGATATTTGCAAAAAATCAATTACCAGTTTGTACATGTTGATGGTTTGTCTACTTCTTGTTCCACAAGACTGTCTGAAGCCAGTGATAGTACCAGTATAAATACTAAACTGCCCACAAGAAACAGTTTCGCGATTTTACGAGGGTTGGCTTGCATTATACTAAGTTTACCAAATTCCAGATAACCATCGAATGTTTTATGCGTAAGTGAACAAATCTGGTTATTGAAAATGGCTGCTGTTTTGTATGTTTCAGTGTAGGACGAATTGTAGGATTGGCACTGCTTAATTCTGTACATTATTTTTAATGTAAATTATTTTAAACAAAATAACATTATTTTAAATCTCAATTTAGAGCGTTATAGATGTTTACACGTACTGTCTGGCAGAATACAAAAGTTTAATCCTTTTTTTTTTTTATTATTGCCGGAATGTTATCAGAATGAGAATTGATGCGGTAGATCTTGTATTGGATCAAAATAAAGCTGAAGCAAGGCCCCGATTGACCTGGTTGTCATATTTTGTAATTATTACTCATTGTTGTCGACATTATTTTTATTTAACGCTGATACATGTTTCTTCTTCTTCTTAGTACACTAATTGAAGAACAGTGAAAATGATCAGAAAAATTTGCTTCAGCATTCATTAAAAGCTGTAAAAATATTTTTATATGTGTTATCAATTCTAATACTACTTATAAAGAGGTAATGTTTCGAATTCTATTTCTTTATTTGTATGGGGGTAATCTTCAAAAATATAGATCAGACCATGAAAATTCTTTCATCTACAGGAAGTTACATCATTTGCGGTGCTATAATTTACGTGAATGAAGGTCGCGATATAACACCTACTATTTTATAAAGTAAAATAATATTTAAAAAAGTCTTGGCTCCATCTCTGATAAACCGCCATGATAGAATAATACATTCAGGATGCGTGAGTATGTTGTTGCGTCAGAGGTCAGTCCGCGCGTGTCTACGTTTACAAGTCTCGTTGCGACAAGCCTGGAGGTCAATGTGCCTATTTTAATTGGAGTAAGTTACAAACAAAGATAGCCTTTCTTACAATAAATGCGACATTTAATAGCAGATGACAAAATAAGAATGAAAATAACAAAGTGTTAAAAAACTTCGATGGCTTCTTGAAACTCATCAAGAACATCAAGGTATAACGTCATTACTGCTGGAGCTCAGATCTTTCCTATGGATGAAATTGAATCTCAATGAATAAAAGAATGGCAATGTTTATATTAATAGCTTAATGTGCTTATCACGGAGAAGTTCGAGATAGTAAATATACGTATTTTTGAAAGAACTACCTTCAATTTCAAGTTTGTTAACATCCATCAATCCGCATTCATGTCGTGGATAATGGCCTGTTCTATTGGTCATATGTTTTAAGAAGATTTGTACACCAGCAGTGGTGGAATTAATAGACTTAGAACATTAAAAGTCCAAAGACACAACACAACAGGGTACATCTGAAAATCTGTTAAAAACATTATTACCGGATTACCCTCACGCCTCAACTAAAATCAGAAGACGACGCCCGCCAGTTCACCAGTCTCCTCGTGACCACTGCTGCTGTAACGTAGCCGAAACGTCGTATACAAATCGTGTGAGTTTAAAAATATTAATAAAAAACCATTTTTTTGAATTACAATGTTTCGCAATAATATATCGAAACTAGTAAAAAAAAGATTTACCTCTGTGAGAGAATAAGCATACAAATTCTTAGTGTATGAGTGCATTAGTGATTATTTGGCATCGTTACTTGATGTTTCCGTCTCCGTGCTCTTGTCGTTTCTATTGTCACGGTAAGGATCCGTAAGCATCCTGACAGGAAACAAAAATCTTACATGCTGCATTATATGTCATCTGGTGCCAAAGTCAATACTGGTAGATTGTGCGTTTTACTTTTATTTGGACGATAGGCCAGTAGCTGTTTAAGGTTAACTTTCATTATAATAGTATAAAAAATAGTCCGTTCAGTCGAACAGAACAAGAAATTGTGACGAAGAAACTAGTTTAGCTGACGTAGTTCATGAAATGGTTTTCAAAATTAACTATTAAGACAACTTGGTTGTCGTCAACTCGACAATCGGTAGACTATTAGTTCCTCAGTCATTGAAGGATATTACTACAATAATCAACAAGTCGATAGAAGAATGCACATTTCATGAAAGGTGGAAAGTCGCTGCCGTGAATCCTATTCCAAAAGTCAATTAGCCAGAATCAGTTTGCTCTCCTGTATGTCTATGGTTCTCAAAAGGATAGTCTGTGACCAGTTAACCAAGTATCTAGAAGATTGCAATATACTTCCGCAGATGCAGTCTGGTTTCCGAAGAGGTCATGGTACTGCTTGCTTGCTGGCCAGGACCTTAGAATGATCAACGCTATGCTGTTGCTGGACTTCTCGCGTGCATTCGATTCAATAAATACAATACTTTTGCTGTCGAAGTTATGTTTTAGTTACCTCACAAATAGGCAGCAGTATGTCGAGTTAATAACTGCACATGGGAAAATCCAATCCACTCCTCTATTGGTCTCTCGTGGGGTTCCTCAGGGGTCTAAAACTCAAATACCTTGGGCCCTATTCTTTATGTTTTGTACAGTGCAGACGTCACAAAGAGCATCACTCACTGTCAACACCATCTATACGCTGATAATCTGCAATTATATTTGCCATTCTCTCCTTCAGATCACACTGAAACTAGGTTAAAAATAAATGAGGATCTGGCTCATATAGCTACTTGGTGCGAGTCAAACTGCCTCACTTTAAACCCTAAAAAATCAAAACTAATTTTATTTGGTATGACGAAAAGTTTGACTAAGTTTAACAACAGCTGTGGTTCATTTGATATTAACTTAATGGGAGAGAAGATAGAGTGGGTGGAGAGAGGTAGAAATAGAAATCAAGGACTAGTTACTCTTAATTTTGAAGCTCATATAACAGAATGTGCTAGAAGCTCTTTTTATCACCTCAAATTACTTTACAAAGTAAGGTCCTATTTGAGTGTGGAGCTTCGAACTCAGTTGTGCGAATCCTTGGTCCTGTCTAAATTCAATTACTCAATAATTCAAGTACCTCAACCAACGGGAAATGGCCCTATCAGAATAACAGTGCCTCTGTGTCATTTTACCCATCTTGTAGTGACATAGGGGCCATCGCTGAAATAGGGTCCACGTTGACCACTCTGTTGTTACTTTATTGAAATGTTTGTTTTTTTTTCTCTTACACATTATTAGTGTAGATGCACAGAAGTGGTCAATAAAGTTCTTTCTTTTTCTTTTCTTTCTTGTTGATATCCAATAAACAGTCTAAAAAAGGTTCTTTTATTCAACGCTCACGCCTACTCAAGGTATCTTCCAAAGAACGGAATTCGATATAATACATCACAGTCACTCATCTTTGCGATAACCACTGTGAATTGAGCTCCTTAATGTGATGTATCATGGCTTCATTTTGATGAATCTTTTTGCAATTGAAAGGTCATGATTCTAAATATAATATTCGCCAGAGTAGACTATGCTTCTATTATTTAGTAAAATACTTAAGTCATTTAAATAAATTCTTCGCTATTAATCAATTAGTCAATATATTACACTGTTTTCTTAAATATAAACAAACAAAGTATTTGAATAGCAAATAGTATTTACAATAAAGGATTACTTTGTATATAGTAAGACTTAACATTTAATTTGTAAACAGCACAAGGATTTCTATTTACAGAGTAAATAAATTCATAATAGCTTCTAATAGTTGTTGACAAGTGAGGTAAATATAACAATTAATGCCATCATGGACATTCGACAGTAAATTGTTGGTTTCTTGGATATGTAAATTACTATAGAACGTAAGCAAGTTATAGTATGTCCTGGATTTTTGTTGCAAATATATTGCATTTATTTTTTTTACCGATTACAAAGAATAAAATAGGGTCATTTCTCATGCTTCCCCAGTCTTTGAGCGGCAGGGCAAATGCGTAAGGCCTTACATAAAAATAAAAAAATATAACCGATTTCAAACTAAAAAAAGTAATAAATAATATATATCTCTAAAGCAACTTTTTCAAGAAAATGCTATTAAAATCGGGCGCCTATCATTTAAATAATAAACTACAGAAAACCTCCGCCCGAATTAATTTTTTTTTAAGTTTGAATTCAGTTCAATTTCTAAGTTTCTATTTAATGCTTTTTAGTAATATTGATATTTTTAATATAATAGGTAACACTTAAAATACTTTTCTGAAAACTGCGCCAAAATCGGTTCAATCAAACGCGAGATAATCGCGGATATTACATAAAACACGTGTTAAAGGGCGAACCTATATTTTTTAATCGACTAATATACCCAAAACATTCTCCTAAGTCTGACAAATACTATGCTGAAAACGGCATCAAAATCGGTTCAGCCAAACGTGAGATATTCGCGCACAAACATACATACAAACATACAGGTTTAAATGGGAAATATTTTTCAAAAATTTGCACCGAATACATGCAGATAGAAAGGTTCTTATTTCATTATTTTTAGTGATACTTACATAGATAATATATAAACTACTAATAAAATATAAATATTTTGTATAGGTATCACTATAATATTAAATACAACAAAGGTCATGAAAATTTTATTTATTTGCACGACGTAAC